AAAGCATGTGTAATTAATTTAAATGCAAATTCGTTGAGCGAATGAGAAACATTGAGCGAATGAGTCAAATATCAGTTTTTGTAGAAGGTTGTATTTAGCTTTATTTTGTATTTATAGGCCTTGAATGGACTTTGAACGCTTTGTATATATTTGTTGTTGTATAAATAGACCTTCAAATTTGTAGAAACATAAGTTAAGTTTGAATCATATTACATTCAATAGATCTCTCTAGTTCAGTTCTGAAGTTCTTAATTTTTAGTAGAAATGCTTAGCTTCCAAGTCTTGTTCATGGAGGAACTTTTGTACGAATTGTGGAATGAAGTGTATCAATTCAAGTTTTTCTTGATCAAATTTGTTTCATTTTCTCTTAAATCTTTGGTTTTACTTTCTATTTCATCTTATCTTTCATTTTCCATTCATTCCTTTATTGTTTCAACATTTTTCAATTGATCATAATGTTCTAATTCTCTTTTGTTTGATTCACCGATTAAAACTTGTTTTCTATAGTTTAGATTTGATTCTTAATGATTCTAACCAATTATAATCCATTAAAAACACTGTGAATGAGATTATTTGATTGAATGTATCTTTTACATTACAATTCAACTTCTAGATTTAAGTGATTGCTTGATTTAGGAATTGAGTTGTGAATATGAATTTTAATTGGATTTAATTGATTGGAATTGTTGTGGAGATGTTATTGTGATTGTAAATCAATTCTATAAAAATCAATGATAATTATAAAAACAAGTTTATGATTAGAGAATCAACACAATTTTTTCAATGTTTTTCATAAATTTTTACTTTGATTTTGTTTTTTATTTCTAAACTTAGTTTCCAATGTTCTTTAGCAGTTAAAGCTTACTTAGATTTACAATACTTTCAATTACTGCTTTTCTTTAATGTTTTCTTTAATTGCTATCATAAAAAAGATTATTTGTTTTCAAATTCTAAAATTATATGAAAATCCCCTATCTTCTAGCTTTTGACTTAGAAAAAAAAAAAATTTAACAGAACTAAGCAATTCTTCTTAGGATTCGGCTTAGATCAAGCCTTAATATTATATAATTTTAATTGCAAATGTTTAATGAAATTTAGTGACAATATAACTTCATCATTGGCGAAGCTGAACCTTTTACCTTAACTTTATTTTGAGTAACATAATATGGCGATCCCAAATTTGAGAAGAGATTTGACGACCCATAATCTTGGTAAGTATAGGTGTTGTGATAGATGTAAAACGTCATGTGACTAGAAGTTGATCATGTTCATGATTGCAAAATTCTTAATAAACAATATTGTTTATAGTAGGATTATCGTTTGAGAATGGTGGTTGTATGGAAGCACGGGGAATCTTGATTATTGATTTTGGAGGGTCAAATAATATTTTATTAATAAATAATAAATAAATATAAAAAGAATAAAGAAGATGAAAGGATAAAATGATAAAATTGTAAATATATACTTAAATATATTAAATAATCATTAAGTTAGAGAGAGATAAAATTATAAATTATATGAGAGTTACAAAACTGAAAAAGGATGAGAGGATAAAATTGTAAATATACAAATAAATATATTAAATATCCATTAAATTTGAGGAAATCAAAATCATAAATTACATAAAAATTACAAAGAGAGTCATGCCCTAGACTCTCAAGACACTATATGTAAAAACCTTCCTAAAAATGTATGAGATTGAGAGTGCGAGTAACAAAAACTTATTATTGCCCGATCAAATAGTTATCATCATCTATTTTGAGGATAATAAATATATTAAAAGTATGAGCAAAAACAGAAGAGCAATAATTGGAGGGGAGTGAAGTGACATTTGCAGAGAAGAAAGAAGAAGTCATGCTGACCAAAAATTAGCTCTAATACCATGAAAGAAAAGAAAGAGAAAATAAAAAAGTATTTGCATGATATGATATAAACAAAAAAGCTACATGCTAAAGATTTTAACCAGATAGCTTTGAAAAATCAGAGTTAAATTAACTCATGCACATTTAAAGTTATTAATAGTTTATACGATATTTTTATTTAACTTTAAAATTATTTTTTTCTTTTTATTATGATTTAATTTTATTGTTTAATTAATTTTGTTAAAATATCTTTAATACATATTGTTTAACTCGTTATTTAAAAAAGAAAAAACTAAAACTTAGAAGTACTGGAGTTGATCTACGTGGTAAGAAAAATTTCTTAAAAATTTTTAACAACGGTTGCTTGTAGAAGGTATATTGTTTAACGAATTTTTTTTTTTTTATCTCATGCAAGTTAGAAATCATCTCTTAATTTTCATTTTGCAGATTTTATTTATTATTTTTACTAATCCACAAAATTAATTAATTAATTATATTATTATTATTATTATTATTATTATCTCTTCATGTTTAAAACTTTGAAAATAATTTTTTTTTTGTTTAAATACTTTATCATATCCAAAATTTAAAAGTTATTAACTTTTTATTTTTTTTATAAAAATTTCTATTCTAAAACATTGAAAATAGAGTATATATAAAAAATATTGATTTATAAATATAAATTTATTTTTTTACAACGTTTTAAGCATGAATAAAAAAAACTAATGTATATTGTTGTTATAAATATTTTTTATTTTTTATTTTTTGTATTTCTTTTTATTATGTTAATTTTTTATTTTTAATAAACAATATTTTTATACTAAATAAATATGTGAATTTTTAATATTTTTTTATGATAAAATATTATATTAAATTAACATTTAATTATAATGCTTAAATAATTTTTAAATTATCAGAAGGTGAAATATAAATAAGAATATTATGAAATATACATGTTTATAAAAAATACCATTAAAATTAAATTTTGTGAAAATTTAATATGACTTGCTTAAAAATGAGATGCTCGTTTAAAGTAAAAATGTATTACTTATAAACACCATCCAATGAAACACTCTTACAAGGTTTGTTTAAATATAAATTATTTCAACTACATTATTTAGTTTTAATAATTATTTTTCATATACATTCGCTGTTTATTTTATATTATATCTTAAAGTATTCTTAATGTAAGTAAACATTATACTCTTCTATTTTATTTAATAATATTTATTACATATTTTGATTTGAAGTTTTAATTGGTCTCGTAATTTAAAAAGTTAATGTGTTATGTTAGAACATTGTATAGCTAAAGGACGAGTTTTGTTTTTCTAGAATGGATTTTCATTTTATTAGCTCCACAAAGGGAACAAAAAAATCACGAACAATATGACACAACTTTAAATAATATTTTAAAGTTAATGATATATATTTTATTTAAATTTTTTTATATAAATATTATTTAATTATAATTTTTTTTAATTTATTAAAATAACTAGATTATCATTTATAATAAAAAGAAAGGAAACAACCCTGTCAAAAAAATTTACGTACACTTTCACTGAGGGCCTTTGTTTCTTGTTATGATGATTCCCCCTATCACAATTAAACTCGTACTTGTGGGACTGATCCGTCCCATCCCGAATTTGATGGAAAAATTCAAGTTGACCGGAGACGGAGACGGATTCGGGTTTTCTCTACTTTAAAAAGTCGGGGCAGGGCGGGCGGGATGGATAATGCAATCCCCACCCCGATCCCGTCCCCGCTCCGACTTTATATTTAAATTTAAATTTTAAAATATTAATATTTTAAAAGTATTTCCTTTTCTTTTTCTATTATTCATTTTTTTTATATTTCACCAATTTTTATTTTTCTTCTACCCACTTTTTAATTTTTTTGTCTTTTTTAATCTTTTCTATCAATTAATTTATTACATTATTCTCTCTTACCTTTCAGCTTTTCATATTTCCTTAATCTCTCTCATCAAATTTTTTTCAATCTTTTCAACCAATTTGATGAACACAAAGTTAATTTTTTTATTCTTTATCTTTTTCTAAATATTTTACATAAATATTAGTAGTAACTAATATTATTTTATTTATAATTTATATTTATTAGATTTTATTATGTCATATTTTTTTATCTTATTATTCTTATTTATCATATATCAAATTTTATCTTAATAAAATAATTGTATTTTAAAGGAATTGATAATTTTAACTTGTATTACTTCGAACTAATTGAATAAGAATTAACTTATTAAATATTTCCTTATAAACTATATATTTCATATTTTTAAATGAAAACTTAAAAATGAATTAACTTATATATATAATCAAATGTTTGAATACAGTATTATAATAATAATAATGTTATAAGTATTCAAATATTTCAATACAGATGATATAATAATAATAATAATAATATTATAAATAAAAAATGATTAAATATTTCTTTTCCATATATATATATATATTTTAATATAAATATAATAAATTAAAATGTATATTTAATTAATAATAATTATAAATTATAAAATTATAAATATTTAGTTATATATAAAAAATAGATAGTAAAATTAATTTATTATAAATATAATTATCTTTTTAAAAATAATATAGATGGGATGCGACTGGAGTGAGGAACTCGAAATCCAAGTAGATACGAAAATGGAGACTTAATTTCTAATCCCGTGGAATGGAGATGGTTAAAAAAGTCGAGCAAAAAAGTCGAGCACGGGTCCGCCCCGCCCCGCCGCGCCGAGGTTTCACTATTTTTTTCATTTCTTTTATTTATTTTCTCCAGTGCATGCAAAGGTTTAATACTGTTTCCATGCCAAATTATTAACAGAATTTGAGTATTTCTAAACTAATTGATCTTTTCAGTTTAGAATCTGCTATTAATTGTATCAGTCAACGGATGAGAATGTTGTTTGGCAACAGAAGCATTAAGCTCGGTCATTTCTATGGTCTCGAATAGTTAAACCCTTAGAAACAATCACTTCATGAAGGGTCCACCTTGCTTCTCGGAACTTTTGTGAACAATATAAATAATAACGCTTCCTCTGGTTTTCTCTCACCGTGTTTCTGTGTTCTGTTGTGTTCTGTTTCTCAATTCATCGCTCCAATCCAAGCAACGGCGATGGCAGAGTTGCAATCTAAACCCGAAACTGCCCCTGAGCAGGCTCTGGTTGTGGTTGAGGTGCCATCGAACGACGCCGTTGCAACAGAAGATTCTCGAGCAGATGAGTCCAAAGCTATCATTGTAGCACCCAAGAGTGAGTTTTGTAATGCACGTGTTTGTGTTCATGTTTTTCATTCTATGATGGTGGTCGTCATGGGAGAAATTCGTGCGTTTTGGTCAAAATCTGTTTTTGAGTGTGGGTTTGTTGGATTGTGAAGGTAGCTGGTGTAACAGTCGTTTGATAAGAAAATCGATCATTAATATTACGTGAACATGCATAAAAAATAATAAATATGCTTCCTTGACGAGAGTACTCAATTTAAACTTATTTGAGTTATGCTTGAACTTTAACTTTTAAGCAAACACACTCATAGGTAATGCTTAACTTGCACTTGGTTTTCAACTTGTTATCAGTATTATTCTAAGGTTTAATTATTTATATGATACTTACAGAAACTATTTTATGTAACTTTGTTGGTTCAACAGACACAGAATTTCCTGCAAATCAACACAATTCGAGAGGGTCTATTGACAGAGGTAAGTGTTGACAGTTCTGATTTCAATTTAAGGTCTAAGATTTAGGGTTTAAATATTTTATGTTTATTTTTTTTTTATATGTACGATCACAAAAATAAAGAAACATAAAAAACTCCGCGCACACAATACAAATACTTCTCTTCCAATGTAGCTATTTTATCTTTAAAGTGGCATAACTTCAAATTAAATTTTATACCACTTGTTTAAGGACACAAGTCCCTACTACTATTTGAATATTTGATCTTTATTAAATAGTACATACATGCATTTAATATCCTAGCTTCTATTAATTTCACAATCACCTGAATTAGTACATTCAACACTATCCTGTGGGGTATACCACATTCCAAATATATACACGGATTTGTAGCTATCATATTTCTCTGTCTTCTTTGGTAACATGAATATGTATCAGTACTAATACAATTTTGTAATCTCTTTAAAGAAAATCATGTGTGAAGATGTTGATTCACCAATCATTTTTTTTCTGGACCATGTATCTATTAATTTCTAAGCTGTTCACTTGTGTCATAAACAGATATCGCCCTGGCACAAGTAGCGAAAGAGAAACAGATGTCCTATGTGAAGGCATGGGAAGAAAGTGAAAAGGCCAAAGCAGATAACAAGTAAGACTTTTATGTACTTTAACAGTTTATGTATATATACCTGAAAGAAGGGTGAATCTTCTTTTTGAAAAGATGAAACCAAATGTGTGCTTAGAAACTCCTTATGCTACAAAATGCAGACATTTAGCAGTGTTTGGGCAAGCTAATGAGTTAAAATGGATGAATTTTGTAGCAGAGTAATCTATATTTATATCTTTTTATATGTTAATTTTGTTTTTGTGATCTGTATAGACCATGATTATGTTAATAATATGTCATTTGATACCCGATTAAGAAATTTCCAATACAAACTCATGTAAACTTGAGAAACCATTTGATCTGTTATCAGAGCCAATAAACATCTCTCGGAGGTAGCTGCTTGGGAAGACAAAAAGAAAGCAGCTCTTGAAGCTGATTTGAAAAAAGTAGAGGTAATATTTTATTTACCAGATGAGTACGATGAGTATTTATTATAAAGTGATGACATTTTTTTACATAGATACGTAGTAGTATGACTGGACTGAAGAAAGTGCGATAAATTTGATATGTTAGGGTGAACGACAAGGAATAGGATGCATGATATTATTCTGTATTTATTATAAGGATTTTTTTGTCTGTCTGTAAAGATAAGCTAAAAGCATGCTAGAAAATGGTTTAGGGCAAATTTTACTGTCAAAAGTATCGTGAATGAAGATAGAAGTAGGTATAGTACTTTTGCTGAATAATATAGGTTTTAACAACTTGTTGGGTGAGTAGGAAAAACTGGAGAAAAAGAAAGCACAATACCGTGAAAAGATGAAAAACAAGATGGCTTTAGTTCACAAGGAAGCAGAGGAGAAGAGGGCAGTGATTGAAGCCAAGCGTGGTGAAGAGGTTCTCAAGGCAGAGGAATCTGCAGCAAAATACCGTGCAACAGGAACCACTCCAAAGAAGAGCATGGGCTGCTTTGGAATGGCCTAATGTTATTTGTAATAGCCAATGTTGTCTCTATTTTCACCCCTCTTGTTACTAGTCGATGTGCATTGATTGTTTCAAGGAAGAAACAAAATTTTGTACATGCCTCTTGTTTTGATCATCTTGTTTGGGGTGTAGAGTTGAATGTAATAGTATTTTTCTCCAAGAGAACTACTCTTGCTATCAAGTAAAGTAAATTCAGTTTCTGTTATTCATTCTTTTCTATCTCTTGCACCCAAATTCAACATAATTTATGTTTCAAGAAAGTAAGTAAAGAATGAGGCAAAACTTAAAAGGTTAACAAGTAGACTTAGCAACTACTTCTATTATCATTTTTGTTTTCACTGTATTTTGTTGCTAATGTTATATTGTATATTAAAACTTTAAAAAAAATATGCTTAAGTAGTCGTCATATTTTTATGATGCTAATCAATGTGATGATTATAATATCTTAAACTATAATATTAAAATAATAGCATAAATAGTGTGTCTAGTGTAATAAGTAAATAAAAAAATTATTATAAAACATATATTTGAGTATATACTCAAATAGTAATACATGTAATAAAATTTTAATTAATTATTTTTGCTTAACGTTATTTTTGGAGATTTAGTGTTATTGAAATTTCAAATGTAAATTCATTATTCTCGTTATTTTATTTATAAATGTAATATGTTAAATATTACTAAAAATTATTTTCAAATAAAATTTAAAATAAAAGATAATGTATTTTAGGGTTTTCAAATAAATTTATCTATTTAAATTAATTTTATAAAATAAGGAAATTAATATTTTTTCTTATTTTTAATAATTATTTAATTTTGTTTTTTACTACACGGGTGTAGTTCATATGAGATGGACGAAGGTTTCGATATATTCATAGTTTAACATGAGATATACCAAAACTACATACATATATTCACCCCTTCATGTTATAAATATTAATAAATATATTGTTTAAATAATAAAATAAAGAGTAAAACAACTTTTTTTATATAACAATTATTATATAAATATTTATATGTAATATAATTAAAATATTTTATTTAGTATCATTAGTTATTTTCAGTTATTTGTTTACGGATGGTGTGTACAAAATAAAAATGAATTTTTAAGGGTTGATATAGATGCTATTAATAGTTTATATATGAATTTGTTTATAATTTTTATTCACCATGAGATAATTTTTTTTTTTTAAATGATCACGAAACAAATATGGATATTATCAAATACGTGTCCTATTTTGATATATTTAAATTAGTTAAAGTGTTTTTTACAAATATAGTAATTTTAAATAATGGTGAAAAAAATAAGATATGATTTTCAAGAGTTTAGGAATGAAAAAAATAAGTTATTGAATTGAGCAATTATGCAGTTAAAAACGAAGTTAAGATGCATCTATATTTGAAAGATTTGATAATGAAAATCCCAAACTTTGTATCCAAGAAAGAATTTGTTGAAAAATCAGATTACAAATGTAGCATGTGATGGTTATAAAGTTAATCTACATGGAAAAACAAAAATAGATTTAAGAGAGGATGAATCTTGTGAGAATGTGACTAAGATAATAAATGTTTTTGTATAATTTTTCACTTATATTTTTTTCCCTCTTATTATTCTACCTTCAACTTTTTATCTTTTTTTCTTCTTCTAATTTTTCACTTTCCTTAATTAAAAAATTTTATATAATGCTCTCACATTTTTACTTTTAGATTACTATTTTTTTTAATCACTAATTCATTACATATTATTCTATTGATTTTCAAAATTTTCTTTTTTTCCTATGTAATTTTTTATTTTTAATGTTTTATTGAAACCAAAAGATAAAAATTTATAAATAAATAAATGAGAGAAATAAAAAGTTCAAAAAAAAGTGAGAACAATATTTTTTTCTTCAAGTCAAAAAATAAAGTAAGGAAATTATTATTTTTTTAATTTGTTATCAGTTAATTAGTTATTTTAATGTTTAAAACAATCTATTTAATATTGAAATATAAAAAAAAAATTGAACTTCAAAAAATATTTTTAAAAAATTATAGACTAATTTATTAAGAAAAATAAATAAATAATAAAATAAATTCTAATTTAGTAAATTTAAATTTAAAACTAATATTTAAAATATTATTAAGTAATTATAATACTAATATTAATCAACCTATATATTCACTAAATTATTTTTTTCTGAAGGAATGAACATAAAAAAAAATGTTGATATTGGAATGATAACTCTCATCGCTGTCATCACATGCTTCAGCAACACGGGTACGCTTTCCTGTTGATCGTTCGAATCGACATTTCTCCAAATACAAACAAAGATGCAGGTCGTTTTCTAAGAGGTTGATGAAAAAAAGGGTATGTACTGGGTTTGGCTAGCAATTTATTTATTTTCTCCACTCATTTATTTTCAACACCATCTGCACTGAAGTATTAAAAGTTTTGTTGCTCAAAAAGTTTAGGAAAAAACATCAGAACATTGCTTAAAAAATTTAGCTATCTTCCGAGGCATTGACTACAAGATCTTCTTATTTCACAATATATTATTAATTGCCTTTTTTTCCTAATTTGGGAAGGTAGTTTGAGAAATAGGTAGAATATTTGCAGGGTTTGTATCCAATGTAACCATAATCATCGGTTGAAAATGTTGTTTGGCAACAGAAGCATTGGACCCGGTCATTTTATGGTGCAGAATTGTTAAATCCTTAGAAACAATCACTTCATGAAAGGTCCACCTTGTTTCTTGGAACTTTTGTGGACAATATAAATAATAACGCTTCCTCTGCTTTTTCTCTCACTCTGATTCTGCGTCCTGTTTCCGCTTTCTGTTTCTCAATCAACGCTCCAATCCAAGCAACGGCGATGGCAGAGCCACAATCCAGGCCCGAAACTGCCCCTGATCAGGCTTTGGTTGTGGTTGAGCTGCCATCGCAGGATGCCGTTGCAGCGGAAGCATCTGGAGCAGACGAGGCCAAGGCTATCGTTGTACTAGCACCCGCGAGTGAGTTTTGCGTTGCCCGTGTCCATGTGAATGAGATGGTTTTCAAGGGAGAAAATTCGAGGGGTTTTGTCAAAATCTGTTTCTGAATGTAGCTTTATTGAATTGTGAAGTTAGTTGGTGTAACAGTTGTTGATAAGAAAATGCGTGATGCTTGAATTTAACATTTTAGGAAACACACTCAGCTGGTGCTTTAGTTGCACCTAGTTAACTTTTCAACCTTAATATTATTCCTAAGGTTTATTCATAAGTTTAATTAATTCTATGATGGTTAGAAAATTTATTTGATGTAATTTTCTTGGTTCAACAGACACAGAAATTCCCGAAAACAAACCAAGTTCGAGAGGCTCTATTGATAGAGGTTAGTGCTGACATTTCTGATTTCAATTTACACTGTAACAATAATAATAATATTTTGTGCTCATTTAAATATTATGAATGCATAAAATTCAACTTTAGACCATTTATTTAAGGACACAAGTGCCTACTCCCTATGTCAATATTGGTGGTAATTTGAATATTTGATCGTCATTAAATATTCATATATCCTATTAATCTCATGATCACCTTAATTAGTATATTCAACACTATGTCTTCCTTAGTAATATCGACATGTGCCATTACTCACAATTTTGTAATGTCGCTAAAAAACTATTGTGTAAAGATGCTGATTCACCAATCACCTTTTTCTGGACCACGTATGTATTAATTTCTAAGCTATTCACTTGTGTCATGAACAGATATCGCCCTGGCACAAGTAGCCAAGGAGAAACAGATGTCCTATGTGAAGGCATGGGAAGAAAGTGAAAAGGCCAAAGCAGATAACAGGTACGACTTTTATGTACTTTAACAGTTTATGATGAATCTTCTTTTTGAAAGTTGAAACCAAGTGTGTGTTTAGAAACTCATTGTGCTACAAAATGAAAAAGTTACGACATTTAGTTCAAGCTAGTAAGTTAAAATGGATTTGTAGTGGAGTAATCTATATTTATAATTTTTATATGTCAATTATGATTTTGTGTTCAGTAGACCATGATTATGATATAGTATACCATTTGATACCCCCTCTAACAAATTTCCAAAACACACTCATCTAAACTTGAGAAACCATTTGATCTGTTAACAGAGCTAATAAACATCTCTCAGAGGTAGCTGCTTGGGAAGAAAAAAGGAGGCAGCTCTTGAAGCTGAGTTGAAAAAATTAGAGGTAATACATCATTTACCTGTTGAGTATTTATTTTAATGTGATGATATTTTCTATATGGATACATGTTATGTAATAACATAACTTTTTGTAAGGATTTTTTCTGTCTTTATAAAATGGTTTAGGACAAATTTTACTGTGAAAAGTAAGTGAATGAAGTAGACCCAAAAGAACATGGAAGTAGGTATGGTACTTTTGCTGAAAAACATAAGTTTTAACAACTTGTTGTTTGAGTAGGAAAAACTGGAGAAAAAGAAAGCAAAATGTGTTGAAAAGATGAAAAACAAGATGGCTTTAGTTCACAAGAAAGCAGAGGAGAAGAGGGCAGTGATTGAATCCAAGCGTGGTGAAGAGGTTCTCAAGGCAGAGGAATCTGCAGCAAAATACCGTGCAACAGGAACCACTCCAAAGAAGAGCATGGGCTGCTGTGGAATGGCCTAATGTTATTTGTAATAGCCAATTTTGTCTCTATTTTCGCCTCTCTTTTTACTAGTTTAGTCTATGTGCATTGATTGTTTCAAAGAAGAAACACAATTTTGTACATGCCTCTTGTTTTGATCATCTTGTTTGGGGTGTAGAGTTGAATGTAATAGTATTTTTCTCCAAGAGAACTAAACTACTCTTGCCATCAAGTAAAGTAATTTCAGTTTCTATCATTCATTCTTTTCTATCTCTTGCACGCAAATTCAACATAAATTATGTTTGAAGAAAGGAAGTAAAGAATGAGTCAAAAGTTAAAAGGTTAACAAGTAAACTTAGCAACTATTTTTATTATTATTTTTTTCACTGTATTTTATTGCTAATTAATATGATTACAATATCTTCAGCTATAATATTAAAATAATAGAATAAATATTGTAAAAAAAGTTAATATAACACATATTAAAAAAGTAATATATGAAATAAAATTTTAATTAATTATTTTGGCTTCTTCAAGTTATTTTTTTGGGATTTTAATGTTATTTAAATTTCAAATGTAAACTCATTATTCTTGTTATTTTATTTCTAAATGTAATATCGTAAATATTGCTAACAATTATTTTCAAATGAAATTTAAAATAAAATACTACTGTTTTTTAGGTTTTTTAAATAAAATTTTCTATTTAAATTAATTTTAAAATAAAAAATTTAATAATTTTGTCTATTTTTATATTTATTTAATTTTTTTTACTACACGAGTCTAATTTATTAAAAAAAATACATATTCATATATGTATGATCATGTGCATCGTTATTTGGGATAAAATTACTTTGATAGATAAGATAATGATGAGCAAGTTTATCCAATATAGTCATTTACCTCGTTTTATACTTTGTAGCTCTATTTTAAAATATATATATATATATATATATATATATATATATATATATATATATATATATATATATATCTTCTTTAAAATATACCAAAAATATCAAAATTTTAATCTAACATATAAATTTTTTCTAAAAAGAACTACGTAACCATGATCTTTCATTCTCAATAGAAATACATAAGAGTAAGGCCTATTCTTGTTGGACCCAAATAAATAATTTTCAAAAATATATTTTCTTTTCTTTGCTCTTTTTCTTTATTTCTTTGCCTAATATTAGGGAAAACAAATATGTTAAAATTTACATTTAATTAAGGGTAACCGTCCTATTACGGACGTTATAGGGTATTAATACCTTCTTTACACGTAATCGAATTTCAAACCCAAATATCATTTTGAAGACCATGTTCTTTTAAAAGGTTTTTTAATAAATATATTATTTAAATATTAAAATAGATTATGTTTTTATAGAATAATTATTATAAATATTGGTATTTAATATAATTAAAATATATTTATTTAATCTTTTATATTATATAATATTTCATTAAATTTTAATCATTACTATAAAAAAATTATTAATTTAATGTTAGGTGACATATAAGTAAGATTGTCATAATAGAATTTTTTTATATATAGATTATTATTATTATTATTATTATTTAAGATTGATATGTGTGAAATAAAATAATTTTTTAAAGAGTTGATAAACGTGTCATTACTAACATTCAATTTCATCTCTGGATAATTAAAGTAAACTAATTTAATAAAAATAAAATATATTTAAAAAAGGTGCTTATTTAATTTAATAAAATTAAAAACAAAAATAAAAAAATATTTTTTAAAATATAATATTTATTAATAAAATAAAAATATCTAACTTCTCAATTACCGTTCTACTCACTTTCTCGTATATATATATATATATATATATATATATATATATATATATATATATATATATATATATATATATATATATATATATATATGTGATTTAGGTATTTTTCAAATCAAAATTTTTTATTTATTTTCAACCCCTCTATTTATCTAGAAATCTTCCCTCTCTTTTATATTGTATTTTTTTTAAGTTTAAAGCATTATATTTTTTTGCCATCGACAGGACTCAAACCCAAGTACCTTAGTGTTGGAGACCGATACTCCAACCACTAAACTACTCAAATTTTTTGATAATAACTTACAAATAAATTATATTTATATACAAATAAATATATATCCGTGTAAATATATAAATACAAATATATTTATATATTTTGATATATTTATATAATTATATATTTATATATTGGATGTGAGGGCACGCTCGAAGGTGAAAGTGTTTGTCGAGTGGGTTTTCAAAATTTGATGTCAAATTTGTGAGCGGGTCTCTTTATATGGGTTTGTAATTTAATGACAGAATATAATATTTATAATTTATTTATATAATAATATAAAATAAATTTGGGAAACGCATCATTCGCTCAAGTGACACATTCGCTCAAGCGAAAAATACCAATTTTCACTCAAGCTTGGCTTGAGCGAGTGAATTTCCGTGAGCTTTAACGTATTTTCACTCAAGCGAGAGTCAATCTCACTTTCACCCTCGAACGCGCCCTCACATCCAACATAAAAATATATAAATATATCAAAATATATAAATATATTTATATTTATATATTTACACGGATATATATTTATTTGTATATAAATATAATTTATTTGTAAATTATTATCAAAAAATTATAGTAGTTTAGTGGTTGGAGTATCAATTTTCAACTCTAAAATACTATATTCGAATCTTATAAGTGACAATTCTCTAACTTAAGTGAATTTTTTACTGAAAAAAATAAAAACACTTTCCAGA